CCATATCACCGTTCCTGGAGTTCCCACGCAGCGGATCAACGTGACACGTGACCGCAGCGTCCTGACAGTCCCAAACCGAGCCAGAACACCATTCGTGCGACTTCAACACCGCGAATCAACGTGGCTGTTGCGCCCTGGCCATCCAAAACCGCGCCAGAACGTCATTCGTGTAATTTCAATCATGCGAACCCTTGAAACTGCTGCACACTTTCAGAAACAAATGCGCGCGGCGCGAATGCGAAAGCCACATTTTGAAAACGGCCTGCCCTCCATCTCTGAAGCTGCTGCAAATGTTGAAGACGACTGCGCGCGGCGCTGAGGCGAGAGCCACATTTTGAAAACGGACCGCCCTCCATCCGCGAGACTGAAAGCGGCGCTAATGCGAAATCCACATCTTGAGAACGGCCCGCCTTGAATGCGCACGGCACCCAGGCGAAAAAAGCAGTTGGAAAACGAACCGCCCTCCATCCGTGAAACTGCTGCAAACAGTAAACCGAATGCGGGCGGCACTAAAGCGAGAGACGCATTGTGAAAAACACCCGCCCTCCATCCGTGAAACTGTTGCACTTGTCAAGCTTCAGGATCATAGATGGTGAGGAAGTCTCAAGCGAAACGCCCGGCCCGCCCTCTGACGCTTCTGGTGATGCGTCAGGGAGGAATTGCTTATACGGGAAAGGGATGGAGGAGGAGGAGGAGGAGGAAGAGGAGGAGGAGGAGGAGGAGGACCCGAGTAAACCCAAAATGCACCATCGATGCTGCAACACACTCTCCCGCCGCAAGCTTCCTCCACACAAGTCCCCTGCAAGCCTTCCTTCTTTTCGCATCGGGAAGCGCTTCCTCATTAAAAGACGAGCATCTGAGGGGCCTGCCGTTCAGGCGAGGGCCCCGTTTCGAAAGTAAACGGCCTTGCGTTCTTCCCGCCAGGGAGAAAGAATGCGCAAAGCGATGATCGCTTAGCTCAACAAGATGCCCAGCACGATCCCCATTTTGAACTAGGTCCTCCCGACCCGTGTGACTCCTGCACAAGCTGTCATATTCTGGTCACGGGGGCCGAAGAAGTCGCAAGCGAGAGCACCAGTTTGAAAAAGAGCCGCCATCGATCCTGGCAGCTGCGCCACATCTTCAAGTTCCTGGCCATGAATTGCACCCGAAATCTGAAGCAAATGCGCAAGTTTGAATAAAATCCGCCCTCGATCCGTGCACCTGTTGTATGTGTTCGAATGCTGGCCTGTAATATTAAAGAAGCCTGATGCGAAAGCCACAATATGAGAAGGAACCATCCATCACCACTGTAAGAGTTGCAAACATTTAGGACGACTGTGCGAGGCATTAAAGCGAGAGCACCAGCTTGAAAAGGAGCCGCCCTCCATGTGATTGAAACGACTGCCACAGTTTGACATGAATGCGCGCGAATATAAGGCGAGAGACGCGAGAATCCCGCTTTGAAATTAAACACCCCTCAATCCTTGGAGTCCCGGAATCGGTTTGGATGCACTACACCCGAATTTTTCGCGCCCGTCTGCTGATCAGGGCTGCCTACGCGTCTCTGCGGTCGGTCTCGGGAGAAAATCACACGAGAAAATCAAGCCATCCCACCTGAGCAGCTCTACCCGCGAAAAAATGCGCACACTCGTTACCGACCGCACAGGTGAGATCAAGCTCAGAGGAGACAGCCAAATGGGGTGCGCTCCTGCCAGCTTGAATTTCACGGCCGTCCAAAGCAGCTTATGGTCCAAAGGTCAGCGTTAAAAGGCAAAGACGAGAGGTGAAAGCGAATTCCTCTGGACCAGACCTGGGCTAACGAAAAATGATCGGTTACAGATCCAATTGTTCCTGGCACTCGCTCAAGGGCTTCGGCGCAGGCGGACAGCTCCGCTCTCAAGACCGTCTAGGACCGACCAGGGAGCGACGACGCAACGCCCGCGATGGGTGCGCGAGCTCCTGAAACAGTCCCGAGTGCCGAGGGGGAGGAGGGGCGGAGGTGGGGGAGGTGAGGAGCAGCTGAAGGTGCCCCCAACCCAGCCTGCTGCTGCTCCAACAGCCGCAGCCGCTCCCCAAGCGTCGCGTCGGTCTCCTCCAGGGGGAGGGGACGGCAGGGGGGGGAGGGCAGAAGTGCCACAAGGGAAGGGGTAGGAGGAGGAAGACGAGAAGGAGGAGCAAGAGAAGCAGCAGGGGGTGCCCCCCCCCTTGCCGTCAAAAGAAAAGTACTCAGCCTGCTTCTGCTGCTCCAGCACCCGCAGCCGCTCCCCCAGCGTCGCGTCGGTTTCCTGAAAGTGGGGTTGGGACAGAAGTACCACGAAGGGAGAGGAGGAGGAGGAGGAGGAGGAGGAGGAGGAGGAGGAGGAGCAGGAGGAGGAGGAGGAGGAGGGGAAGGAGGAGGAGGAGGAGGAGGAGGAGGGGAAGGAGGAGGAGGAGGAAGAGGAGGAGGAGGAGGAGGAGGAAGAGGAGGAGGAGAGAGAGGGAAAAGGAGGAGGAGGAGGAGGAGGAAGAGGAATAGGACGAGGAGGAGGGAGGGGAAGACGGGGGAGGAGGGTCAGGAAGAAAAGGAGGGGGAGGACGAGGGAGAGGATGACGACAACAACGACGACGATATTGTTTTTGCTGGTGTTACTGTTGCTGCTAGTATTGATGATGATGGTGGTGATGATGTTGGTGATGATGACGATGACCCACATTCAACTGACGGCGAGCGATGTTTCGCCGCGGCACTGGGCAAGGGGAGGCGCCCGAACATGTGGCGATCGCACCAGCGCCGCGCACAATCGCTTTAGATATCTGCGAGTGACCAAAATTCGATGATGTGAAATCCCAAGAAGAGCGTTCTGACACGACTCAGGATCTGTCAAGCCGCCTTCGGCAGGCGTGATTGGTGGAAACGCCCAGCCAAGCCGCCCTTCTCGCCGCCCCCCTCGTCGTCCCCCCGCGCACTGGACGACAGAGGAGAGGCGAGGGGCGTCCCAAGGCAGTTCGGCCCAACCCCACCGCGCCGAAAAACAGCCCACCCTTACACAGACACACACACACACACACAGAGACACACACACACACACACACACACACACACACACACACACACACACACACACGCATGCCCTCAATCTCCTGTGGGCTTGGGAGGGAGGGAAAAGTGAAGAGGTGCCACGAGAGTGGCTTGAGCCCCAATTGCCTCCAGACGGGTGAAGGCGACGGGGGCGTTCGCGGGACCAGTGGAGTCCCACAGGCCCCTCATATAGGCACACTGCATCGCAGTCATTCAAATCACCTCCCCCCTGGAACATCCGGCCGGCTGCATGACACAGGTTGTTATGCCCACACATTTTGTCCTGGGTCTCGTCGCATTGGGAGAAACCAAACACCAGACACCTACCTTGGGTACGCCGTCTTCGGTCGGCGTGATTGGTGGAAACGCCCAGCCAAGCCGCCCTCCTCGCCGCCCCCCTCGTCGTCACCCCGCGCAGTGGACAACAGAGGAGGGGAGAGGGGTGCACCAAGGCAGCTCCACCCAACCCCACCACGCCGAAAGACTGCCCGCCCAACGCAGCCTAGACCTCCCAACGCCGCTTTACTCAAACCTTCACTCTTTGGGCGCACAGAAGGAGAGATAGTAATCCTCATCGGAGCTGGCGTCAATGACACGGGAGGCGAACGCGGCCGTGCCCCTCCACTCACCAGCCTCGAGGAGCTGGGACCACGACGCACCGCCGGCCACCAGCTCGGGCGTGCCCAGCGCGGCAGGCCTTGAGAGAGAAGCTCGAGGGCTGAACTACCCCTAGGAGCCTGCGCAGCCTGCTAAAGTCCCCCAGAACAGCTCCAGCACTGCGATGCTCAATTTGCTGGCCTCCCACTGCTCTCGAAGCCTGAAGCCAGTTGCGATATCTGCACGGTGCGCACCACGACACCCCGTGGGCACACGAGCACGACCAGCGAAGTGTGGAGCCTGACGCCCAGTGCTTCCTCCGCCGTAGCCGCTTTTCAGGACGTTGGCTTCGTCAACGAAGACCGAACTGTGCTGCCCAGCAAGCAGCATCAGAACAGAGCTTGCTGACCCGACTTGCAGGCATGCGCGTTCACTCTGCACGCGCAAAAGGAACTCCCATGCAAGAATGATTGACACGGGAAAACTCTCGCTCCCTATCGGTGCAGATAACGCGCACAACCGCTCTACTAGACTGCGGCTCAGCCTCGGACTCGGACATTGGTCCCGTTCAATCTTGGCCTTCGTCAAAGAGTCCCGCGCGTCCACAGACGGCATCGCGGGATGCTGCCACCGGGAGGCCAGGGCCAGGGCGCTCCCTCCAGGCGCGGGCCCTCCGGCACCCCCCGCGCCGCCGGCCGCAGCCTGCGGGGCAGCGCTGGGCTCCCGCAGCCGTCTGGCGCTCTCGCCTGGGGGACGCACTCCACTGTCTGGGGCGTCCTGCGCAGAAGGCCCTGTGAGACGATGCCCGTCTGTGCAACCTCGGCCGCAATCAGCTCCGACTCGCTGATCCCTTCCAAAGCCAAGCTCGAAGGTATGGAGACAGCCATCTAGAACGTCACCACCTCTGTCACCACCCCTGGCGCCGCTGCCTGCTGATCCACAGACTGCAGGAACTCGCACCACGGCTCCTAGTCCAGCTGGCAGACAGTGCGGGAATCTGGAAGGAGGGAAAAGTGAAGAGATCTGACGAGAGTGGCTTGACCCCAAGTGGCCACCAGACCAGTGGATCAAGGCGACGGGGCGTTCGCGGGACCACTGAAATCCCCCCTCATATAAGCACACTATATCACAGCTACTCCAGCCACCTCCCCGCAGGAACTTGTGCCGCATGACAAAGGTTGGCATTCAATTGAAAATGATTTCCTGTAGGGGCCTATGAAGAGGTAACTTGGAGGCAGGCCTTTTTGGCTTTACACTGTCCCTGGGTTTACACTGGTCCTCCTCCTCCTCCTCCTCCTCCTCCTCCTCCTCCTCCTCCTCATCCTTCTCCTCCTCCTCCTCCTCCTCCTCCTCCCTTCCCAGC